TTGGAGAATGAAAAAAATATTACTTAATTTTATACCTCTTAATGAAAGCCACACTGGGGTCTATTTAGCAAATAAAACTCTCAGTTTAACGGATCAAAGCTCAGAACTGTCTATAAGTAAATTCTCTCAGTTTAATGGATTTACTAATTAAATGTTGAATTAATCTCGGTATAACGGATTTTTGAAATTTTTGTTCTAATTGCCCAAATTATCTGCTATACTGAGACTCACTGTGTAAATGTTCTGATATCTTTGTTTGACTCACAATCCAAAACTTGACAATAATAATTAATAGAATGATAATAGTAAAAATGCTAAACTATACTTTGAGAGAATGTGTTGATAATCATCATGGTCCGCCTCCATTTCATGAACATTAGAGTTCCCAACATCTTCTGGCTGTGTATCATCATAATCAGGCATCATAATATGCAATATGTGATGGTTTATTCTGCTTGTTTCAGTTTCATCTATAGTGTTCAGACATGTTTGTTTGTCCACTATACTGATGGCAAATTCAAAGCAATCGGAACGATGGATGGTCTTCAGATTTACTGAGAACATAACGGGGGATCTCCCACATGTCATAGAGTCCTTTAACATTTTCTATGTCAAGGTGTGTGAAACAAACTTTGTGACAAGTATCAATCTCCTCCCAGGGTCATACCAGCATAAAACAAGTAGTAAATATTTACAACGATTAGGTGATGATATTAAAATTGTCATTGCTGGTAAAAGGTCTCCTGGGTCATAATCATCACAGACAAACCACACATTCTTGTTTGCAAGTTCTAAAAAATCCTTCATGCTAGTACTTGCACAGAATTCTTTTCTTGAAAATAAATGGTATAACACACTATCTTTGTCCGATAATACAGTAATGTCTGTGGGAAAAATTTAAGTTATCTTTAAATGTTGGTTGGAAATACGGTTCAAGCAAACAACAGGAACTTACTTACCTTGCTGCAACAAGACCCAAATAGTATATCAATTTTCCAATGCCGGGTTTCTGGTTATTACAAAATAACCATCAACAGAGGTGATCTTAGTTAATTCTTTATAACATTTATGAACAAAGAACCTATTTCCCAAGGATTCGTCCCCGTGATTAATACTTCAAATGAAAAGCTATTATCACAAGAAGAGTCATTCAACACATTCCAGAATTCAGGACCAACTAGCTACATATATACCAAATACTTTTTTTGAACATTTACCAGATCTAAATGAAAGGAAATGAATGGAAAATATTTTATATGTATATATATTTTTATGCAATCCACTCCCTGGACAAAGATTCGGTCTTCACAAATCAAATAATTCCACAAAAAGTACATAATAACAACATACTAAATTGTAGCTAAAGTTTTCTATGCACAAAAAATTTAAAGTTGCTGTGATGGCTAAACAAAAAAAAAAATAAAAAATCTGGCCAAAAATATCTGCCAAAAAAATTTAATTGTCCAAAAACTTACATAATAACCATGCCTAAATTCTGGTATGTTATAAAGAAAACTTGTTTATATTCTTACATTTTTTTGTTTACTTTTAAAAAAAAAATTAACTTTCGCTAAAATTAAAAATTAAATAAAAAAAATGTCAAGTTAAAAAATTGAACATAAACAAATAATTGGACTTTACAGAGGAGGTAATGCTATTTCATATATTTCTAAATCACTTGACTTTGCAAGACAATTGTGGTCAGAACAATGAAAATCTTTCAGGAAGGGTAGTGTTGAAAAGTGGATGTCCTAGACTTTTGGATGCGAATTAGTCGAAAAAATTGTTAAAAAGAGAATCAATTAATACTGTATATCCGTATATATAATTTAGGAATTACCCTGTACTATTACCCTGGTGTTAAATGTTGTGTAATGATTATGCATACACTACAGTCAGGATTTTTTCCAAATTTGGAATTACCAAATATTGCAATGATCAACATCCTAAATAGTAAATTCGCACTACGTAAAAATTTGATTGGCTGAAATTCCGCCTTTTTCTCCTTTTCTTTTCTCAAAAACTCACATAATATGAAAAAATTTAACTGTTCATAAAAAACCCATGAAATTCTATTCAAATAAAAAATTAAAATAATTAAATATTTGTTTAAATGGATTTTGATGTGGGAACACACATCCAGGAGACCTATGAACAGTTAAATTTTTTCATATTATGTGAGTTTTTGAGAAAAGAAAAGGAGAAAAAGGCGGAAATTCAGCCAATCAAATTTTTACGTAGTGCAAATTTACTATTTAGGATGTTGATCATTGCAATATTTGTTATTTCCAAATTTGGAAAAGTACTGGACTGAAAATCGTGATTAAATCCATTAATATTTCTTAAGGGTATCATTTTTCCAATCAATATTTCAATAAGAAGCTCAAATAAATTTTTAAGTATTGACCCATCAGGCTCCGGATGCTATTTGAACTTTTTTATAATATTTAATATGAGTTTATTTAATCTTTTCGACTATTCAATTGGTAATAATAATTGGAATTATTTTTTTCATTTGATCTAAATCTAATCAAATTCAATAAATTTAAAGAAGAAATAACAAATTCAAGTAATATTATTGATAATGACGACGATGATAGTGAAAATGGTGAATTTAATTCTGGTAAAAGATTGCTCAATTCTGGTGAATTTGGATGTGCAAAAGTATGTACGAAAGAAAATCATTTTTAATTGTTGGGCATTTTTTTAATTGGATTGATATTTTATATTTACATATATAGATAGGTCCTTCGCACGAAAAGACATTGAATGGAATTAAACTATTTTCAAAAAATATTTGTAGTCAATTATTGTTACGTGAATTGGTTCCAAGAGAAATTTCTAACCTACCATTTAGAAAAGTAAGCTAATTGTTTTTTGTGTGTGTGGAAGGAAAAAACCTTAAAATCTAATAGTCAAATAATAATAGTAATCCGACATTACTAGAAATTCATTCCAAACACTAATGGAAAAGTGATTCTTCGATATGCTGAACCTGCATATTCTGGACAATATTCTCAAGATGGCTCATTATTCTACTCTTGTAGTAAAGATTTTCGTGTTCGCATATATGATACAAATGATCCACAGGATCCTAAAGAAATTAAAGTTATCAGCGGGGTAAATTAATATCTAGTACTAGTGTTATTATTATCACTATTAGTAATATCGTTAACAATATTATTAATAACAATAATAGGAGGAATTTGGAAGATGGACGATAACGGATGCTAATCTAAGTAATGATAATAAATGGATAGCATACAGTAGTATAACACCATCTGTATGTCTAGCAAAGACTGATGTTGAAGAAGATTACCAAACAATTTTAGATTTTGACAATGGTGAATTATATGCGGCAAGTAATGATATAGTAAAATTGGTGAATGATAACAGTAGATATCATAATTTTTTAATAACTATTGATTTTTCATCAAATAATTAATTAAATAGTTGTGGTCTATTCGATTTTCCAATGATTCTAGAGAACTCGTTGGTGGTGGTTCTAGTAGATGTATTTATGGTAATTATTATCATTACAATTAATATTAGCATTATAATTGATATTCCCATTATAATTAGTATTATAGTTATTATTATTATTTTCATTATAATTATTAATCACTGAAATCTTCATATTATTATCATTATTAGTCTATGATATTGAAAGAAAAGAAGTAATTCTTGAAATTGATGGCCATAAGGATCATGTTAATGCAGTGTGCTTTGCTGATGATTCATCGCATGTTCTTTTCAGTGGCAGCGATGACTCTTTAATTAAAGTTTGGTATGTTAAATAATAAATTTTTTTATAAAATTATAAATATTAATATTATTATATGGTAGGGATCGACGGTCAATGCATAATGAAAAAGAATGTGGTGTATTAGTTGGTCATACTGAGGGTTTGACATATGTATCATCGAAGGGTGATGGTAGATATTGTTTATCAAACGGCAAAGATCAAAAAATGAAATTATGGGACATAAGAAAAATGATGTCGGGTGACCAATATAAAAGACTACCTCCAGTAAATCTTCGACGTAGAAAATGGGATTATAGGCATATGAGATATCCGGGAGATATATATTTTGAACATCCACAAAATGTATCTGTTATGACTTATCGAGGCCATAGTGTACTAAGGACATTGATTCGTTGTCATTTCTCACCTGCTAGCACTGGTCACAGGTAATTACTATAGTTATAATTAAAATTATATATAGAATAATTTTATATTGAGGTACATTATTATTGTTGGAGAAATATAGTTTTATTTTAAATTAATAAATAAATAACTTTTTTAAATAGCTATTTATATACAGGTTCTGAAGATGGTTGTATTAGAGTAAGTAGTAATTTTAATATTTAAGATATACAGTCGATTTAATCAATATTATTATTATTATTATTAGATTTTTAGTCTTGATGGACGTGTAATTCAAACTTTGGATGTATCAAAAGCCAAAAAACAAAAAAATTATTATAATTATTTTTATAATGGTCGTAATGAGCTATTACTTTATAGACCAGTTACTAGGGATGCTAGTTGGCACCCTTATTTACCTATTATAAGTTCAACCAATTGGTCTGGTTCAAATTTAACTTTGGGAACCATTGTTTTGCATTCTTATAGTGAGCCTGATTCAGATATTTGTGAAGAAGAAGAAGAAGAAGAAGAAGAAGAATACGATGACGAGGACGAGAAGGTTGAAGAAATGCTTTATTGAGCGGAGGAGAAGATGAAATGATGATGTTATTTAATTATTTTAATTTTAAAATTTGTATAATAATATAATAAATTTTGTAATATTTTTCTTTGCTATGTATTATATATATATATAAATATAATTTTTTATTTATAATAACAATAATTAAATTCCTATAAATAAAAATTATTTTGGATTAACTCTTGCACGAGTATCACCACCAGTACTCATTCTACTACCACCGCTATTACTACCAGTACCAACTCTACCTAAACTGTTGTTACTACTGCTACTACTACTTCCAACACCGCTACCAACATCGGCTTTTCTTTGAGCAATTCTTTTATTTATAAATTTTTTTGCATATTCATGACCTTTCTCTGTTACACAAAACATACGCTTTTGTTCACTATGCCATAGCACTATATTTAGCTTCCTGCAGTATTTTAAAAGCATATCAAAGTCTGCTTGAGTTCTAAAATCATTATACAAATATCCTGGAAATAATAATAAAGGTAATCAATTAATTAAATGATATATAAATAAAAAGTGTTGTCTGTTTATTTTTTATATATTACCGTCATCAATAGACAATCTATTACGTTCTATCTCCCATAATCTAACTTGATCTACAACTGTAGGTGGTAGTAACGGCATTTGTTTTTTCATTTGTGGATGTGCGTGACTTGTTAGATACGATATTATCTTTTTCATTAAAAAAATTTTTATTAGAAAAAAAACATATAAACTCGTATTTATTGGTTATTTTACATACTTGATTAGCAGTGATTCCGTGCCTTAAAGCTGATCTAATACTATCTCTTGTTATATTAGCATATACCATATTTGCAAATCTACTTTGCAATTCACAAAATAATTTTATAACTGAAATCTGTAATAATGATTCTTTTATTTTTTTATTTTGGAAAAAAAATAATATTAAAACATCAATATATTCATCATGATATATATTAAATATAAAATAATTACCAGTATAAGCATATAATTTATAATTGGTTTCAATAATGATGAATCCTTGATCATTAACTCCGCTTTCATTTCCACCAGTAGTAACATATGACGATGATGATGACGACGATCCACCAACTAAACTAGTGGATCCAATAGCTGAATTTCCCGATGTTAAAGTTGTAGCCAATCTTGTTGGATAATATCTTGAAGAGGTTTTCTTAATTATTATTAGGATATATATAGTATAATTAAATAACAAAATATTTTTTGGGTAAAGGAACATTTTTAATTTATTTTATTTTTACCTTTCTTCTATAAGCTAAACCAAAATTAATTAAATCATCAAGTAACCATTTTTGAGTTTCAGTTAATTTATCAATTAAATATGCCTTTCCTAATTCTAAACTTCCCAACATGAAAAAAAAATTTAAAACTTCCACTACATTCATATTCAACATCTATATATAAATTATAATAAAATTTTTTAAATATATTATAATTAAAAAAAAAAAAAAAAATATATATATATATATATATAAATGTGCATTACTTGATCAGCTAATTCTAAATATTGTAATAAAAATGCCCAAACTTGTGTATTGACATCTTGTAATAAAAATTGAAATCCTTTATTGGTAATTTCATATTCTCCTTTGCTATTATTATAAAAAAATTTAAATATATTTATTTGTTATATTATTCAGAAATTTTATTTGAAGAAAAAACACCTTACTGCTCTTTCATTAATTGTGATCTGATTAATATATTTAAAACACCTTTACTTGGCTCATTCCGATTTTCTGTACCAACCATGAAATGTAATATTTCTTCCCATTGTTTCATAGCATAATTATCTAAAAATGCTACTATATTATTTGGTATATATCTTCCATGTGTTGAAGATGGTGTACCAAAACTCTGATGATCTCCTCTAATTATTATTTTTTTTTAAAAGTTATCTTTTTAATATTTTAATTAGAAAATATTATAATAATTATTCAAGATAACTACCCTCCAGTTAAACAGTTTTGATGACTTGTTTGAAATTGAGGATTCATTATCATTCTTCCATCTTTTTCTATTAATATATGTAATTTTGACAATTTTTCTAATGCATCCTCAAATCTGCTATTAAAAACATAATTCTTTTTAATATTTCTATAAAAAAATATTTATAATTATATTTGATCAAGATTAAACCTACAGTATTGCTTCCTCTTGATTTTTAACCATTAGTTTTAAATCATCCTTTGTAATACTTAATTCAGTTGGTGGTATAAATAATAATGTCATCACAAAATGTCTTGCTAATGGTGGTAAAAGCCTTTAATAACATATAATTATTATATATATCGAAAAAATTAAATTTTTTGGTTTTCATGTTATAAAGAAAGAAAAAATGTATATATATATATATAAATTACCTGAAAATAGCTAAACATGTAGCAGGTTCTCTGTACAAGCTATCTAAAGTGTTTGTTGGTAAGGCTTCTAAATATTCATAAATATTATTTTTAAAATGTGATAAAGAATGCATCTTTGTAAAATTTTTGTATATATCTTTAGAAAATCAAGTCTAATTAATAATAATTTTTTTTTTGTGTTCAATGTTTTGTTTATTTACAATATCAAAATTTATTTATTATTATGAATATTCGAATATATTTAAAATCATTCCGAGTATTCATAATTATTTTGGTCAATAATTTTTCCCTTATAATTTGGAATTATTTTGGATATTTATTTGTATTGTCAAAATGATTGAGTGTTTGAAGTATCCACAAATATTCGGAAATAATTACGAGCATCCATAATTGTATTCGAATGGGACAGGAATTACGGTTAGGAACTTTTAATCATCATAATTTTAAAAACTTTATCTACTTGAGCATATTAAATATCACCTTAATTTCCTTTACCCAGTTTTTAGCATATCAAGATATATCAAAAAAAAATCCACTCAAGGATGTGACCTTATAAAATATATATTTATTATTATTATTATTATTATTATTATTATAAAGTTTAATATCTTTGTACCATCAATTCATTTATCTATTGAATAAACAATCATTGGTGTTTTTGGCATATTTTTAAATAGAAAAGGTACAATAATGTTAATAATTTCTTGTTATTATTATCTATATTATCTACATTATCTGTCTATATTAATTGTCCCTTTTGTGAATTTAAATTAAGAATGTCTCTATGTCCGTTTGCTAGAGATGAATTTAAAGATACATGCTGTCAAAAGTCAACCAACATAGTATTAGTGTATATTAATATAACAAAATTTCGCATGAACGGCATAGTCGAATTTTATACTAGTGGTAATTTAGGCCATAGATCTAACGAGTGAATTTGTTTGCGAGGTGATTCTTGTGATTAAAACCAATTTCAATGCAAGTAACTTATATGCTTGTTTCTATTGATGGTTAAGCTTTCGATTAACAATACCTAATTTTTTCAACTAATTAAAAATAAATATTTTCTAAATGCTTATTTGCTTACCTCTCTTCAAATTCTTTGCTTTATGAACTTCATCAAATTCATAGCCCAGCCAGACATTCAGTATTTCAAAAATTAATAAAATAAAATTTGTATTTACATGTGTGTAAATACATATAATAATAATATATTGTTATCACCATATTTATTTATTTGTTGGTTTGGTTTAACTAAATATATAATTAAATCAATTTTTCCCTCAAATTTTCAAGTAACTCGTAATTTCTTTTAGGTACCACATGATTTACTTTAAGCGTAATTTACCACGTATTTTATTAGTATAAATTGATTTTTTTACATGTGAACAAAATCTAAAAAAAATCTGAAATTGTTTTTTTACTCTAACGAGTTCTTTCTCTTCCAATACACATTTTCGTCTTTATTATTATTTGAAAAATTCATAAATACTACAATTCATACTTATAACTAATATGTTCTTGGAAGGTTTTCGTTTACAAATTTTTGTAAATGGTGAACCATTAAAAGAATATAGTGAAAAATATAGAGAGAATAAAACGGTAAGTATTCGATTTTTTTTCATTAAAAAATCCACATAATATTGCAAAATAATTGTATATGTGTGGACGTATATGTATTACAAAAATATTGATTTTTTATCTTATTTGAATAAAGATAACTACTACAGGTCCTTCATATATTTACGACGAAGAAACGGAAAAAATTCATAAAACGTACGTACGTTCGTCGTCCGTCCGTCCGCCCGTTCGTTTATTAATTAATACATCTATCAATTAAGTATTTCATTATTGTTTTAATTTTATATATTTATCTTCACGTCTAATAACTAACTTATTAACTTCTAAAAGTGACAGAATAGTATACGCAGCAGTCTGTAAATCAGATGAAAATAAAAGATTCAGTATAAATTTTGGATATACAAAGGCAAAATATTCGACACCATTAAAAGCCTATTTGTTTGTTGATGGAGTTTGGGATTATACTTATTACCAAATTTATGATAATTGTTATTATGTTGAGGATGGATTTTGGAATCAAGAAAGAGATAAGAAGTTTTATTTTGAATTCTTTACGTCGAATATGAACAATGATATTATTGGTAGTGGCAGTAAGAGACGAAGAGGAAGAATTGAAAGAAAAGGAGGAAAAGATGTTATTAACGGTGATGACAATGTTGAAAAAACAAGCAGAATCGAAAGTAAAGGAAAAAATAAAAGAATGGAAAAAAGAGTGGACGAAGAAGAAGATATGGATTATGCTTATAATATTCATAAAGACAATAATATTAATGATCTCATTAATCACAGTCATAATCAGAGAGAAAAAAGTAAAAAGTATACTGGAGGCGGACCTGGAACAATATCAGTACATTTTTATAAAGCAGAATGGCATGAATATGGCGTTGTGAAAGTACCAGGTTTTGATGTATCGCAACAAAAAGATCATATTAAAGAAACGGCAATTAGCACAGGGTTTAAAGAGTCAAAACTTACGAAAAAATTTATAACAAAAGGTTTTTGTAGTTTGAAACGATTAAGCGATCAGCCAATTGCTGTCTTGAACCTTGAATACCGAGACATTAGTTATCTTAATAATATAAATGGGTTGATAATACCTAATAACAATAGCAATAATCAGGAACTAAAGCTATATAATTATAACATTAAAGTGGGATTAAAAAGAAATTTACCTTTTATTGAAGATAGTCAAGATGAACATGATGATAACGATAATGATAATTATAATAATTATAATAATAATTATAACGGTAGCGGTAGTGGTAGCAAAAGTTATAAACTTAGAGACAAAACTAAAGTTAGAAGTAAATTACCAGATAGAAATAAAGTCACCAAAAAATTTGATCCAAAAGATATTAATCGTTTATTCAGAGAATTAAAATAATAATAATTAATAGTTGGTTGAGATATTAAGTAATAATTTGTATTTCATTTTAAAATAAAACTTTTTTCTTCTAAAAATAAAAAATCAATCATTTCGAATCTCAACCAATCTCTTTGATCCACTTCTTTATCCACAATTTTTGCCTTGAAGTTAGCATGATCAACAATGAATCTGTTTTTTAAATTCGTCTAAACATTTATTAAGCAATATCTCAAGTGTCAATTCTGAAATGATAATATCTATCCAACAACGATAAACAACAAGATGATCCATGTCCATGAACTGCAAATGGTATGCTCATACATGTACCAAGCTGATTAATTTTTTCAAGAGCCCATCCATATGTAGTTGATATTCTTATAGCAGGATATGATACTAGTTCATTGATACCAAATCTTTATTGGGTATTAATTGGGTAGAGTTTTGTTTTCTAATGCTAAGCAAAGCTAAAAATTACACATGAGCATTCTTTTTCTCTGTGTGTGATACCTATTTAATAAAACTAACTTTATTTAGTCTCATATAGGAAGATCATTAGCCTACCTTAAAAAATTTATAATCGATCGATATTAATATCTTTATTTTTTGAGTTCCAATGGTCATTACAACTGAAGACACAATAAAAACTAATTTACAGGTCGATGCACCTGCAGAATTTCTCGGGTTTAACAAAAATGACGAGTCAGCAATAATACAAACACCAAAATCTACTATTGATGAACTTAGTGAGTTACTTTCAAATAACTTGATCTCAACAAACAAAACAACTTTTCGAGCAAAAAATTATAAAGCCTCACCTTTACTAACTAGAAGTAAGAAAGAGACTCAAGAAGAAAGACGTAAACAAGCTTTAGAAGAACAGAAAAGAGTATATAATTCATCTCGTGTTTATTTATATGTTTACATTTATATTGTGTGGATTGGAAATTCCTGTAATTAATTAGTTATATTAATTAATATTTATATATATAATCTCCTTTAACAAATTTAATCATTTAGCGAAAATGTGATTTTTTCACACATGCTAGGAATCTTGCTTTGTATAAACTTAGTGAAGTAATAACAGATGACGAGGAAGAAGAAGAAATAGAAGAAGAAAAAAAGAAAATCGATAGTGCTGATTTACTTACTAAACCTATTAAACGTAGATTTGAAGTAGAACAAGACGATGATGAAAATAATGATAAAATTTCAATCAAGAAAGCGAGGCATAAAGGTAAATTTAAAAAAGGATCATTTCGAAAATTCAAAAAAAAAAATCCATACAGGTAAATAAATCGTCTATATAATAATAGTATTTGAATAATACTCAATTTTTAAAACTTAATTTGTTAAATTAACAATTCTATCGGTTAATCCAGTAATCAAGTAATGCATGCGGAATGGATGTATGAATTACCAAATGATTTAGAGGAGAATTGGTATGTAGTGTTATGTCCAGTTGGTAAACGTTGTCTTGTCACATCAGCAAAAGGTATTGATTTATTGATAATTTAATTAATTGTGTTCAATTAATTAAGGTATTAATTGTCTGGTTGATAAAACTTTACGTTTAGGAAATACTATGAGTCGATTAAGAAACGGTAATGAAATGAATGAGAAAACTTTTTTTTTAATATATGTCATGAAATAATTAATTTTTAATAACTATAAAATTAAAATATAGGAGGTGTAATGGATGTATTTGAATCTAATTTACCGGCAGGTGGTAGCAATTACAAAGGAAATAAAACAACTGATTATTGTATTTTAGATTGTGTTTATGATCAAGCTACTTTTACATTTTATGTCTTAGATATGATGTGTTGGAAAGGTCATCCAATTTATGACTGTGATACGGAATTTAGGTTGGCTTATTTAATTCATATCTTCTTTAACAATAATTTTTTTTAATGATAATAGTTATTTATTATTATTATCATCATCATCATCAAATAGATTTTATTGGCTCACTACAAAATTTAATGAAGTTGACCCTCCAATTACGGCCCCATCATTAGGAACAATGGCAACAGTCAACAATTCCATTTATAAGTTTATACCACTTTCACCTCTGAATTGTTCTCCAAAACAAATCTCTTCATTGATAAGTGATTCGAATCCTTTTGGATATCGTTCTGATGGGTTACTTTTTTTCAATAAACAAACACAGTATGTTATTGGTGAAACACCTTTATGTGGTTGGATAGGAATTGAAAAAGTAAAAGAAATTCTTGGTAACTATCTTAATTGTGATCAACAACTGCAACAAAAATCAGAAACAAAATTGGGAGAAGACGGCTGTGAGTGAGAAGGAAGTAGGACTTTATAATGGACAAATAATCATTAAAAAAGAAAAAACTTTTTGATTTTGATTTTTTTATTTATAATAATAACCTATTTTTATACCTAAACATTTTTTGGTTTACATTATCAATTTTTTTTTTAAAATTATATTTCATCACTGTTAACTATTAATATATATATTAGAAAAGCAAGAGAAAATTCTCTATTATAAATATTACAAAAATTACAATAAACTATAATAATAAAATGTTTCTTCTATCTTTTCTATCATATTATTATTGCTTAGAATATATCAAAAGAAAATGTTATATTGAGAAAAAATGGTATGAAAGTTTATATTATATATTACAATTAATCTAGTTGTATTATTTATTATTAATAAAAATTATTAAAAATTTACAGGTCTTGAAAATAAATTGGAGAGTATGGGTGTGAAATGAAATGCTTATTTGTTAATTTGATTCGATTGATGAATTAATGTAGTTTGGCTGATAGATGATGGATGAATGAGTTGTGAGAGAAATAATATAAAAAAATTTATTTTTTAAAAATAAATATAGATACGAGTTCATTCAAAAATGTGATGTGATAATTTAGAATAATTATTCTTAACGTTTTTTTTTCAAATTAAACACATTTTAGGAGTTGTATACAAAATAGAGATGTTTAAATCTTCGAGAATTGGTTAATGCATCTTCTGATGCTGTTCACTATCAATTAATCTTTTTCATTGACATAATTACCAAACCATTGGCAAATTTAATCTCGTTATTATAAAATTGAAGTATTACAATTGCGTCTTAAAAAGTTTAATTGCAATAATTTATTTTTTATTTTTTTATGTAATTAATGTATTATTTTTCTATTTTATTAAAATAAAAATACTAATATTAAATATTAAATATTTCAGTATATGCTGTATATCATAATCAAATTAAATCAAATTAAGCTGCCTCTAAGGGAGCTTCCAGTTTCTTTTTAGATTTTGCTTTTTCAGGTTTTAATTTTGTTTCTAGTTGTTCTTCTATTTAAAAATTGAAAATCTAATTAATATTAATTGAAAATAAAAATAGAATCGAAAATTCAATTAATTACCTTGATCAACAACAAGATTTTCTTCGACTGTAGGAAGTTGAGTATCAGGAACTTTGGAAAATTTGCCTTCAAACTATTAATATAATTTAAAAATATAATTAATATAAAAATATGATTTACATAATAGTATTTATAATTATAATTTACTTCTTCTGCTTGAATTTTATCTAATTCTTTCAAAATCTCATCTTCATCTTCATCTGTTATTTTTCCACTTAATAACTCTTCAATTTCCTGAAAATTGATAACATTATATTCATTAATTTCATTGTATGAATAATCTCTCTCGTCCACTCAAGTACAAATACATATATATAAATACATTTTGATATGATATAGCATCTTCAGTCTCTTCCATTAATTTTTCTACTTTTTCAATTGAAATTTCTTTGTGAATTTCTTTTAATATTGAATTCCCTTTTTCTAATCCTGCAAAAACATCTTTTTCCACCAATGCAAACTCTATAGATTGTGTCTTTCAATTATATATAAATAATTATAAAATATAATTACAAAATATTTAATTCCAATGTTTTCAAACCCATGAACAATAACAATTCTCAAATTTAAATGTTTATATCATAAATACAAACCAATTCTTCTAAATTAAATAATTGTGTATCAGTTTTCTCTAATAATTGTTGTTGATATTTCTTCTTTCTTAAAGCTAATAAAGCTGTTCGTTTGTTTCCTTGACTTAATGCTTTCTTTGCTATTTCAGTTTCTTTATCTGCAACTACTTTAATCTAATAATATATTTTTATTATTTAAGTGACAATAAATAATTTATATTGAAAACTAATAAATTATATAAAAAAGAATATGCATATACATATTATATGTACTAATTATAATTATATTTTGATTGATTATTATTATTATTATTATCATCAATTGTTTACCTTTTTCTGATATTGTTTTAATTTGTCTCGTTGAACTTTTAGATCGAGTATGGCACGATCCTGTGTTGTTATCTTGGTACTTTTATTACCCATATTATAATGATTTAAAAAAAATATATCAAATTTTCAAATTTACATGTTCGTGTAACACCTAACTTTGTGATAGGCCCCACTTTTTATTGCCTTAAATGGAAAGTTCATATTAAAGATTCTAGTTACTAAAAAGGGAAATAGCTAACGCACAAAAACCTTTGTTGGAAAATTTTTTTGTCTTGAATGTTTATATTTTCGCGAGGAATTTGGTTGTGAAAATCTTGACTATAGATAGTGGATTGATTTAACGATTAATAATAATAACAATAGTTTCAAAAAACAATTGATAATATTTTATTGTTCGTTTGATTTATAATAAAAATATAAAGGTAAACATATAGCAACATTAAGAAAAGCAATTGTTATTATAACTGTCAAAACAATTTTTTCGATAAATGTGAATTTTCCTGCTCTAGAATTTAGAATTGATTCTTCATCCACCACAATATTTGCTGTTTGTGCAGAATAATAATAATGATGATGTTATTTTTTTTTTTGAAAAACTCTTGAAATATTTTTTTGAAAGGATTAATTTTAAAAATCATACATTTTGGAACATTTATTGGTGGATTTCCTTGATCATCTTCTGTGTCTCTCGAAGCTTCTAATTTCACCATTGCCTTTCTTAAAGATCTTTTACCCAATATAGACAATGCAATTACACAACATGCAGCAATAATAAAATTCATTGTAATAATGACAATGTCTAAAAGAATATTTTATCATATAAAAAAAAATATTAAGCTAAAGATGGGATGAATGCATGACTTGACGAATGAAATAATACCTTTTTTTTCTAAATTTGGTTTATCAATTCCACTCAAACTTTTAACCAATGATCCAATCCATACAGCATTAAAAGTTCCTGGAATTACACCAATTACAGTTGCCCAAAGAAATGTCAATAACTAGTCATTAAAATTTTGAAAAATATAATCCTTTTAATAAAAAACTAAACAAGGTTTTAATCAACATTCAAAAAAAATTTTTTTTCTTCGCCGTTATTTATAATGCATCATCACCATCGTCACCATCGTCACCATTACCATCATCATTATTACTTACATTAATTGAACTCACGGAAAAGAAATAACTTATTAAATTAAAAGGCAAAGGTGTCAACCTTAACATCACTACAATCTTCCAACCTAAACATCAATTAACTTTATTAAATTATCGATGAAACTAAATCAACCGTTTTTTTAAAGAAATGTAAATACCTTCTTCTGCTATCACAGCATTTAAAGCTTTAAACATTGGTCTTTTTTCAACTTGAGTCACCACCCAATCCGAAAATATATACTTTCCAAACAAAAATGTACCAAGTGCTGCTAATACATCACCAATAATAATAACAAGCCCTGCTAATATTGATGGTTTGAATAAGAATCCCGCTGATATACTTATCAAAGATCTATATAATAAAATAATAATAATAATTATTATTATAATAGATAATAAAAAATACAATTTGAAAAAAATCTCACCCAGGTAAAAAAAACCAGACACAAATAATATAAATAGTTAAATATAACAATATTCCATATTTCTTATGAATTTCAACATATTTTAAATAATCATTAATGTGATCTTGAATTCTAAAAACCTATTATAATTACATGTACGTACGTATATATCATTATTTGATTAACAATATTATTATTATTATTATTATTAAAAGTATTAGGAAGAAGAAGGTATTTACATTTCTTTAAAAAAACGGTTGATTTAGT